TGGTTGGTCCACATCTCCAGAATGATCAACACTGTCGACAATACGCTCACATTTGCCGACGGCTCCTACATTACAAGACAGCAAATGGAGCTCATGTTTGACGTAAGATTGCATTCAATAACTTATGTATTGTTACTGTTTTGTCCCTCATTTTCATTATCTGTGATATTACTCGTATTTGTTGTCTTTTGTTTATTTACCCACGAATTGAATACAATTTGTGTTCATTTAATCATAGCATGAATTTGTGGCAAATATCTTCAATTTTATGGTTCTGTTGAACAATCTTCAACTCAACGACACAGAAGTTGGTCTCTTCGCAGGCGTTGTTTTGCTTCAATCAGGTTTGTATGCTTTTAATTGACACTTCTTTAAGCATTTCCGATACAAATGACTGCAACCATCCCTTCAATAGTATTCATAAATTGGTTGTTAAGTTGCAAACCAATGAACTGCTGATTAGTTAAACATTTTTGACTAATGTATCCGAAGTTTTGACTTTAAAGTCGATCACTTCTTGACGTCAATAACAATGAGATAATTTATTTTAATTTTTAAATATATGCAGATTTGTAATTGACTTCTAAACTACATTTCCTTAATTTATGCATATTTTTGAGTCATATGTGGTTACAAATTGAATGCAATTGAGGTAATGGAGACTAGTTTACCATTGAATGATGAATCAGATTAATTGATAATCGAAATATTGAGCACTTTATTTAAATAACTTTTATCTTAATGTTGCAAATGTTTGTCTTATAATTGTATCGAGTTTTGGTTCAGACGTAAGAAGTTTTCTCTAATATTAAAAGTTTGTTGTCATAAGGGGTGAAATGTTATCTAATATTTTATTGGTTTAAAAGAGTGAAAATTGCTAAATAAAGGCTAGAATATAGAGATAAATGGGTTTTGAATAACGATGTTTAACATTAACCTTCACTTTTGTCTTACGCTAATGTTTTGTAAGTTTATAGCTTCGGACTCTTTATTTGGTTATGTCTTACGTCTGTTTCAATGTATTCAATGTTCTCTTAAGTCATTACAAAATTTTATGATTATTTGTAGTATTTTTATGAATACTTTACGCCAACTTTTGAAACATTAAAATAAAAAGCATTTCGATTTCATAAAAGTTATTTAATCTATAAAAGACTTATTTTAAGAAACAAAAAAAGTTTTTTAATACAGTAAACATATCTTAGAGGCTTTGTTTTGCATTAATTTGGTCTTCACATGATTTTCTTTCCTCGACTCTCTCTCTCTCTCTCTCTCTCTCACATCAGATCAAAAGCACTTCCATTTGTACTTCATTTGTAAATCAAACAACTCTTTCGCTTAAATATTTGAAAATTCAAATATTCATTGAATCTT